GGAATCCTTTTGGTTTTCTCTAGAATAATATTTTTATGCATCCTGTGATTGTGGAATCATTTAGTGTGCTTCAGGACATTAGTCTTAAAGGAGCCATTCACTGGACATATTTCTTTACCTCACTCTAAATAAACAAATTATCCAACTGGAAGTTATTACCTTACAAACCACAAAATAGTATGTCACTTTACCAAGAACCAATTAGGAAATCTGTGGGTTCCCATCCATTTTAGAGGGATCTAACCTCAAGGTATTTTTAAAAAAGCATCACAAAATCAAAAGATAATCCCTATACTATATAGCCTCAAAACTATGTATTAGTGTAGATCATGGTGATCCGGTTATCTGCCTTGCTATATAATTCCTTTTTCTCAGAGACAAGGTTCTCATGAATCATCATAATCTTGTTTCTTACCTTGTGTCAAGTATCCTAGTACTCTGGTGAGTTAGTGAGTCCATATAGATTTGATAGTATTTTTACTTCATTTGGGGTTTTGTAGTTTAACTTTGTATTTGATCTGTTTTTAAATCAGCACTTGGAGAAGTCATTTGTTGCCTAACAAATTATGTATGAAAATCTATTATCACCACAGCATCACTAAAATTCCCTACCTCTTCTGAATATAGGTTATCATTATTTTATATCAAGATATGTATATCCCACTGTATCATCTCTGTCGGTCCTATTTCCTAAGTGATTTCCTTATTCTCAATTTAATCCTTCAGTTAATATGTAATCATTACATTAAAAACAGATGCTCCTAATTTCAGGTACTATATTAGAAAATGTTTGTAGTGTAGATAATAAGTAATGTCTTACTTCCTGCATATTAAAAAATAATTTAAAGGCATGAGTCTTTGTAAAAATATATGTATATTATAAATTACTTAAGGATGCATATAGTATTGATATTTAAGAACTTTATCTGCTAATGGCTAAGTAAATTTCTATTCCAGCTCTCTCCCTTTAACTGGGTATACACAACTAAGCATAGTTTCATACCCTTTTGGACCAAAAAATGGTTAATATGGCTATTAAATCAACAAAAACATAAAGAAACCAAACCAAATCTTCGAACACTGCTTCATATCTTCTTTCTCAGAGGAGTATTTCCTTCTTGTTTCCTACTGCCATTCAGATGGCCTACTGAATATACCTAGAATTCAAGAACCTTAATCAAGCTCCAAGCTCTATTTTATGTGGTTCTTTACCCAAACTCTTCATGACAACCAACCTGATCTATTTTCCCTTATGGCATTATGCCTTCCTACCTATTTTTTTTTTGTCCCTTTTAGTCCCTTGAATGAACTATGCTTTCTCTTATGTCTGCCCATTTGTTAATGCCATGCCACGGCTCGGAACACTTTCTCCTGCCACGTAGGCCACCACTTTCAACAATTAAACTTCCTCCCATCCTTCAGGCCCCAGCTTAGAGGTTACATGTTCAGAGAAATGCTTCCCAGAGCAAGTGGCAGTAGCATGTGAACAAGGTAGGTCTTTGGAGGTGAGTGGAAATGGCCTAGGCAAAAAATTGAACGAAGGGAATTCTAGATACCAGGAATAGTGTGTGTAAAATCTTAGGCATGTAAGAGCAAGGAATGACTTTGCCATTTATGGAAAGATGAACTGCTTGGTATAGCCACAGTAGATTGTACTGTGGCATTTTGCCATAGATGTCCTTCTTCTGGGTTCCTGTGGCATTCTGTACTTCCCCCATCACAGACTTAACACACAGCATTGTACCTGAGGGCTTCCTAATCTAAACTACCCACTAAATTATACTTCCCTTGTCTGTCTCATCCATCATTGGCTATCCAATTCATGGTACATAGTAGTAGGTAGACAACAAATATCTACTTACTATTACTGAATAAATGGATGGGGATGGGAGGAAGGAGTTTCCAGATGCCTGAAACTGGTTGACATTCACTTATTTATATACTGTACTTCCTATGAGCCAGGCAATTTGCTGACACTGAGCCACTAAGATGAATAAAACCATGGAACATCTATTCAAAGAACTCACTATCTAATGAGAAAGAGAAACATGTAAATAGAGCAATAACTGTCACGGCACTAGAAATTATATATAAATGGAGTATTGGGAATAGTCAGAATATACTTTAGAGAGAAACTGTAGCATTTGAGATAGGACTTTAGAAATGAATGGGTACTATCCAGACACAGAAACAAGGAAAGGGAATGCTGGGCAGTAAGAATCATTTGTATAAAGATACAATTGCGTAAAACATGGTATCTTTACAGAAAGGTGAAACCCTCAGTGTGGTTGGAATGGAAGTAGGTGAGGATGTGATTGTGAAGAGTGACAGTGAAGAGTGTACACTGCCCATGGGCAGTGAGTGGCAGAGTTCTTTAAATAAGGGAAGTGACATGATCACATCTTATTTTAGGAACATAATTTTAGTGATAGTTTGGAAAGTACATGGATGTGGTGATGTTAGAGGTGCCATGATATCAGGAAACTGCTGCAGAAGATGCAGCAAGCAATAATGGGAAACTGAATTTAGGTACTGGGAGTAGATAGGACAGGTATGATATGGGAGAAAGTTCCAAAGGCTTGGTGACTGGCTGGGTGTACAGGATGAGTAAAAAGGAGAAAATGGTCTCAATGTCTAACCTGGGAAACAGAGTGCATGACTGGTCATCGCATTAATTGAGATTGAGAATGTAAGAGGGTCAGTCTGCTTGGGAAAGGAAAGACGAAATTTAGTTAGAAATGTCTCTAGTACCACAACCAAGAGATGCCTAAAAGCAGTTGGAAATATTGATCTGGAATTGAGAAGGAAAGTCATGCCTTGAGATGTAAATTTTGGAGTCAGTAGCATGTAGATGACAATTGGAATCCCAGTAGCAAATGGGATCATCCAGATCTAGTGTGTGTGTGTGTGTGTGTGTGTGTTTAAAATAAAGGTGCTCAGCCCTGTCTGTGCATCACAATCATATGCAGTGTTTCACTGTAAATGGCTGGTCTTCATTTCCAGTGAGTGATTCAGTAGGTCAAGGTGGGGCCTGAGCATTTTTTTTTAATTCCATGAGCAATGATTATGGACACCCAGGGTTGAGAACATAAGAAACCCTGGGACCTAAAAATGTTTAAAGGATTGACAAAAGAGGAAGAGCCAGTAAATGAGACTGAAGGAAAAATTGACCAGAGAGGTAAGAGATTCAGGTCATGGTTTTCTAGAACCCAGAGGAAAATAAAATTCAAGACATATGGGATTCTCTAGAGCTCCCCACATAATCCTCCCCACATCAGCTTTCCTTTTAGAATTGTGACAATCCTTTAAAACACAGAAGAAAATTGATCTTCTATTTTAAAAAACGCCTTTTATCATCTTAGCCAGAAATAATCTATTTCTTTTCTGAATTTTTTTATTTGTACCATTTACTATTCTTATTTAATGTCCTTATATTGAGTTATTTGAGTGTAGATCTTATTTAGACTGTTTTGACTCCGTAAGAATTTTTACATGTATTTTCATTATTTTCCACTGCTCAAAACATTTTACATATAAGAGCTTCTCAAATATTTCTCAAATAAATGAAGAGATGATTATTTCCCTATCATTAAGGAGTTTACAATATAGATGGAAGTCAGGAACATGTGAAATGACTCAATAAAGTATATGAAAGTATGAAGTACCTCAAATTTTCTAGCTATAATCCTGATATTCTAATCAATTACATGATCCTTGAAATCTATCCAGCTAATAATATTTAGCAAGGTAAAAAAATGCTGTCAACTTGTATAAATTTTTGAGATATAAATGTTATTTAACAAGCATATCAAATGTGAGTGTTGAATTTACTTGGTTTTCCCTTTTTCTGTTTATAGAAGATAGAGATCCCGATTTAGAAACAATGTTGAATATCCCTTCAGCACTCACTCCAACAGTGGTTCCTGTTATAGTGAATGTTCCTCAAGGCAAACCTAAAGGGAAAACAAGAGGCAAAGAAAAACCCAAAGAATCCCTTAAAGAAGAGGAGCAACCAAAAGAAGAAGAGAAAAAGGTAAACAAAACTTACCATAGATGCCCAAATTCTGCCTCAATGTTAATGTTTTTTTAAACCATTGCATATGTCAATAATATTATTATAGTGCATACATTTTATTGTGCAGATGCATTAACATTCCTTGTCGTTTCAACTCGAATGGGCAAGAAGGATTTGCACACAAAAATTGGATTCCCACTCCAGGAGACATGTTGTCATACACAAATTGTCACAGGTCATTCACTCTCAGCTCAGAAAAACTTGGTTCAACCTTTTTCCCACCCTGGTGCTTAGGTTTTCTTTGCTTTTGGTTGGTCAAGTCTACCATTCCTTATTTCTAATACTTCATTTAACTCTAATAAGATAAACAACAATTGGAAGATAAAGATCTGTGACTAAACAATGGAAACAGTTCCACTTGGTGGATATTGACGTGCTAAGAATCCAGAAAGACTAAGACAGCCCACACTTCCAGTCAAAGAGTAGTCCACCTTCTATCCCCAACCTTTCATCATAGGCAATGTGACACACACACACACACACACACACACACACACACATACACACACTTTGACTCTAAACATCTTCCTAATAGAACACAGATCAAAAGAGGATTCTATTGGATTGATTCTTTGTATTAGCGTTAAAAAAAAAAAAAAGAGGCCTCTAAAAGAGGAGCAACAAGGAAACTACTGGCAAATCTTGATTCTTGGTATTTACTACTAAAAGTACAATGTACAGATACTCACTTGTTAGAAGAACAAATATGTTAAAAAATGCTCAAGAACCTGGATTTCAGACTCTGGCCCTTTAACAGTTATGGGGTTTAAATGTTACTTCGTCTCTGTACCTTATTTACGTAGTTATACTAGATGAGGTATCTCATGCCAGGCCACTTTTGTTAAGTAAAATGTTCAGGATGACTCCAGGTAATTGATTTAAAATTAATTTGGCCAAAGTCAACTTGATAGCAAACTAATCAGTTCATCCAACATTTTTTTTTTTTTTTTTTTTTGAGACAGAGTCTCACTCTGTTGCCCGGGCTAGAGTGCCGTGGCGTCATCCTAGCTCACAGCAACCTCAAACTCCTGGGCTCAAGCGATCCTTCTGCCTCAGCCTCCCGAGTAGCTGGGACTCCAGACATGTGCCACCATGCCCGGCTAATTTTTTCTATATGTTTTTAGTTGGCCAATTAATTTTCTTTCTATTTTTAGTAGAGACGGGGTCTCGCTCTTGCTCAGGCTGGTTTCGGATTCCTGAGCTCAAACAATCCGCCCGCCTCGGCCTCCCAGAGAGCTAGGATTACAGGCGTGAGCCACTGCGCCCGGCCGATCCAACATTTTTTAAAATTGATGATAATGGAAGGATGAGGGATGATTACCAGTTTTGTACGTAATGCTAGATTCAACCTAGCAGATTTGCAAGTTTGAGCATTTTTGTTCATTTTACAGAATTTTATAAGCTTTTCCTCTTAATTTTTAACTTGTGTTTTTAATTCATTTTTAGCTAAATATTCAAATTTTTACATCTGTTAGTGACAAAGAAAATGCAGAACAACCTAAATGATCAACAGTAGAAGACCAGCTAGAATAAACTAAAGATCCAGCAGTGAATTATCAGTTGGAATGATTTTGGTGGCTAATAAAAGAGAGCCAGTTGGAAAAACTGAAACGATTATTAGTTAGAATTATTTGAAAGTTACCAAATAACTTTTGTTCTTGAGCACATATAACCAAACAAGGGATTCAGGCATAGCTGACATAAAATTAATTAGGATCTTAAAGTAGACACATCGAAATCCTCATTAATTTATAAATTAATTTCTAACTTTTGATTGTCTTTTATTTTCTTTTAGTGCTTTTACTTGCTATGTAAACAATGCATGCTCATTATAGACAAAATACGGACAAATATCCTAAGACACAATATCTCTAGCACTCGATCTATAAGAATTATACCGAAAAAGGCAATGGGGAAGTTGGTCTCCCACATACTCTGCCTGTCATAGTCTGTTTGGGCTGTTATAACAAAATACCGTAGACTGGGTGATTTACAAACAGTAGAAATTTTATTGCTCACAGTTCTAGGGGCCGTGAAGTTTAGGATCAAGATGTCAGCAGATTCAGTGTCTGGTGAGAGCCTATTCCTCATACACATGGTGCCTCCATGTGTCCTCAGTGGCAGTAGGGGCAAGGGCTCTCCCTGCAAATTCTTCCATAAGAGCACTAATCCCATTCATGAAGACAGAGCCCTCACGACTTACCTATTTCCCTAAAGGCCTACCTCCTAATACTGTCACACTGGGTATTAGGTTCCAACATATGAATTTTGTGGGAAACACCAACATTCAGACCATAGCACTATCCTTAACACCTACACATCCAAACTGAGGCATTTTTCAAAGTCTACTTCAAGCCTAATTCCTCCACCACTCCTTCCCAATTATTCCTCTTAGCTTTGATATCTCCCTTTTCTAAGAAAAGATATGCCAACTATTTGGTACTATCATTAGTGGTCTCACCCATCTATGTGCCATTCTACTAGTAGAATATAAACTGCACAAAGGCAGAGACTCATGAATCCTTGCAGGCTCTATTGCAAGGTCCTCCTAGCTCTGCGCAAGTCACATCGCTAAGCACTCAGCAAGTCCTTGCTTAGTCAAAATAAGTAATAGCTCATTTAGAAAATGATAAGTAATTATTCACATGCTAAATTATTTACAGGAAGAAGTAGAACCAGAGCCTGTTTTAAAAGAGGACTTTTATGTTCCCACCTTCCAAAGACTAAATGTGTCTTGCCCCAGTGGACTCCTATTGACTTTCATTGGGCAAGAGCCTACAGGTGAGTGCTAGCTGGGGTGGAATGAGGGAGCAGAGGGCAAAAATTCATATTCAAAATAGTTAAATCATCATTGAAAACTGTGTATTTTCTTACTGGTTAAACATACTTCTTTTTTTTTCTTTTTTTTTATTATTTTTTTATTTCAGCATATTATGGGGGTACAAATGTTTAGGTTATGTATATTGCCCTTGTCCCCCGCCCTAAGTCAGAGCTTCAAGCGTGTCCATCCCCCGGACAGTGTGCATCACACCCATTAGGTGTGTATACACCCATCCCCTCCTTCCCCCTACCATTTGCCCGACACCCAATGAATGTTATTACTATGTGTGCACTTAAGTGTTGATCAGTTAAAACCAGTTTGATGATGAATATATGTGGTCTTTGTTTTTCCATTCCTGGGATACTTC